GCTGCTAGCGGGGAGACGCTGCCGCCCCTGAGATGCCGCCCCTGTTACCTGTGCCATGACGCCTGCGAGCCTCGCCAAGCCTTTAGGGGTGGCAGGTCTTTTATCCAGCTTCTCAGTACTCGCTGCCCTTTCCCTTTTTCGGCTTTCTGATTTCCAAACGAAGTCACTGGTGGTGCTCTCGGTGCCGGCATCCGCGGGATTTTAAAGCGCATGAAATTTTCTATTTAAATTAAATCTATTTTCAGGTTTGTTTGGGTTTTTTCCCCTGGAACTGAATGTATGGGATCACACATGCAGACAGCCTGTTGTGCCTTCAGGCCGGCTGTGCTGGAGAAGTGTGGGGAACCCCTGTTGGTTACAGCCTTCTAAGCTTATACAACCCACACCCTATTTCTCTGTGTTGCTGTATGGTAAGCAGTATGCTGCCCTCTAAAATAACACAGGAGTCAATCAAACTAGAGGAGCAGGTGATATTTAAGATGTAGGTTTATTAAAGAACGGTAAAAGATGTAGAATGGTTAAAAAAGAAGTGCATCTTGAACTAATTTACAGACCAGTGTTAATGGGGCAAGGCAGTTTATTTTCCGGTCTTCAATGTGTTTGCATTGTAGGTTTTACTTCATCGGCTTGCAAACTTTCAACGAGTGTGGAGTTTGCCTCCAAATGAAAATACAGGAAAAGAAGTGACTGCTCTTGCTTGGAGACCAGATGGCAAAAGTAATGACAAGTATACGAGGTGATATGGTGCAATAAAAATCTCATTGGAAATCAGTGAAAGTTGCGATGATGATACCTCTTATCTGTGAAGGAAATTTACAAGTAAACTGTGTTTAAAGAGAAGGGTGACTTAATTTTATGTAGCTTTATTCAAAGTAATAGAGTTACACCGTTGAAAGCAATTGCGAGAAATTGCAAGGTGGATTTATGTCCAAAATACTGCTTTTCAAGGTATAGCAAAACTTCCAGTTCCTAACTAAGCAGAATATTTTTATATGAATGACAAAATTTGTTGTGCAGGTGGAGAGAGAGAGGCTGTCTGATCAGGGTTGGCTAAAGAGCTTAGCTTATTTAGCATAGACTGAATTGCGGAGGCTAAAATTGCTCTAATGATACACCAGAGAAGAAAAAAAAGCCTTTTCCTTATCAACGTATATAATGCTGAAATTAGTAGCTTAATAAACCTAAAATAGAAACTAGTTAACTTTTTGGCTCATTAGAGGTCAGAGAATGGGAACAATCTTCGTCTGTGACATGTGGGTAAAAAATACCTGATAGTTTTATGATGGAGTCAGAGGAGTTTAAGAAACTTCTTTTTAAGTTGGTTGCCTGTGATTACTAGGAAGTAAGCATAGAACCTTTGCCTGCCTTATGCTTTTAAGGATTAATAAAGTTAAGGTGATGCAGAAGTTGCTCAGCAAGTCTTAAAATTGTATTTTGTTGTAATAAAACCCAAACCTTCTTGGTGGGCAGTCTTTATATAGAATTCTGGCCTCAAATTTGCAAAAACTGAAGCCTCTGCTTTATCAGAACTGTTGTTAGAAGTGTTATGGAGTTCAACATGTAAATAAATAATTGTGGGATCATGCTTTTGACTTAAATTTATCACCTAAAATATGATAGGAGTTTAAACCTTCGTTTTAATGAATAGGTTTCAAATGAGAGTTTGGAAGGACTGTTATCCTGATTTCAGCTGGGACAGAGTTAATTTTCTTTCTAGGGGTTGCTGTGTTTTGGATCTGGTACCAAGTGAATGTCAGTAATGCATATTGTTTTAGTTGTTGCCAGGTGATGTTTATATTTTTCAAGGACTTTTTTCAGCTTCCCATAGAAGCTGAGAAGGAGCGCAGACAGAAGGATGGAATGGCCTTCAGTATATAAATGGGGGTTGGCTGGGGGACAGGAATCCACAATCGCTACTTGGGACGGTGCCAATTCACCGGGTGGTGAGAGTGACTTGTGTCATTGTTATTATTGTTATTTTCCTTTTCTGTTATTGTTTCTGTTAAACCGCCTTTATCTAAACCCACAAATTTTTTTTTCCCTTTCCCCTCCTTTTCTCCCTCTTCTCCCTGCCCTTCTAGGGGAAGGGAGAGAACTGTGCGAGCAGCTGCGTGGTCCTAGATGCTGGCTGGGGTTAGACCACTATAGTCCTTTTTGTCGTCCCAGCTGGGCGGGGGGAGGGGGGCGCTAAAGAGACTGTTGTGGTTTAACCCCAGCCGGCAGCTAGGACCATGCAGCTGCTCACTCACTCCCCCCACAATGGGATGGAGGGGAGAATCGGAGGAGTAAAAGTAAGAAAACTTGTGCGTTGAGGTAAAGACGCTTTTTGCTAAAGCAAAAGCTGCACACGCAAGCAGAGCAAAACAAGGAATTCATTCGCTACTTCCCATCGGCAAGCAGGTGTTCCACCATGTCCAGGAAAGCAGGGGTCCATCACACGTAACCGTTACTTGGGAAGACAAACACCATCACTCCAAACATTCCCTCCACTTCCTTCTTCTTCCCCCAGCTTTATATACCGAGCATTATGTCATATGGCATGGAATATCCCTTTGGTCAGTTGGGGTCAGCTGTCCTGGCTGTGTCTCCTCCCAACTCATTGTGCACTCCCAGCCTACTCGCTGGTGGGGCAGGGTGAGGAGCAGAAATGGCCTTGACTGCTTAGCAACAGCCAAAACCATCAGTGCACTACCAGCACCGCTTTCATCCCAAATCCAAAACAGCACTCTACCAGCTGCTAGTAAGACAGCTAACTCTATCCCAACTGAAACCATGACGAGTGTATGTAGACAAGGAGGAAATTGTCCAATAGTTGGCTTTGAAGACACATTATTTTCTAATTCAGTATAAAGTAACGACGAAGTTTTGCATGTTGGTTGTTTATACATTTTACTCATCTTTCTCTAGTTTTGGCTTTTGGCCTTACTGATACCCAGCGGGTTATTCTGTGTGATGTAGAAAAACCTGAAAGCTTGCACTCCTTCTCCGTGGACTCCTCTATTACTTACATGCACTGGATGGAAGTAACTGAGGAAAGCAGGTGAGTCCAAAAAACTGTACAAGTAAATTATGGGCTATGTAGTGCCACCTTACTAATAATTTATACCTAGTATATTACAAGCAGTCATATAAAATAATATAATGTTACATAGCTATGGCTTTTTGCTACCATTTGGCTAAAATTTTCCTTTTGGCTTTTCAAATGCACATTTTTGGTGCTGATACCTTAGTCTTGTGGTTCTTTAGAGCATACACAAAGATTTCAGCATGATCTTGAGTGCCCGTCTCTTAAGGGCACTTAATTTAGTGTCAGCCTGTCTTCTGATCTGGTTTAATTCAATGCTAATTAATTTATTGAACTAACTATAATAATGTTATTATGTTCATAGGTATTATATTTAAATCTTTCTTCACTTGTGTTTTCAAGATCTTTAGTTTAAACCTTACATCTTTCATGATGTGCCTTTGGTGTTACTTCCAACCCCAGTGGCAATTCTGTTTTGCGCCTGCTTGCTTCAGGAAGTCAGATTGCCCCTAGTGACCATGAGCTCGGTGATGTTAGACAACTCTTAGCAGCACTTGTGAGCTGCAGGACATCCTGGTCCCTCTTTCTGTGGTCTTAGAAAAATCTCTAATATGCACCTTATTGCAGTGCCAGACAGTAATTAAATAAAACATTTATTTAAAAGAAGGAGGTGGAGTAAGCCTGACTTGGGGATTTCCTCCCCACCTCCAGAAAACACTAGTCTTACGCTAGCAAGAAAATAACTGCATCTTGTACCGTGCTAGCATTTGTCCGATCAAGATAGGCTTATCTCCTTATGGGGAATCTCATCGTTCTGTCTAAGATGTGGTATTAAGTATTGCGCTTTAGTCTTCCCCTCACTGTAATGTGTCTTCAGAGTGAAGTTTTTTTGAGACGTAGGTAGGTTGTACTGCAAGGTTGCTCATGGTTTAAACAGAAAGCCTCAGTCAGTAACTGCATTACAGATGGCAAGGGATTTGGTGGCAAGCTACTGAGCTAGCAGATGCAAACTTTATATTCTCCTTTGTTGGAAATAAAAAAAAAGGATTTTCAGACTTTTTATTAATTTGATCATTTGATAAATTATTAAAGGGCCCATAAGGGATTATGCTGATATTTGTAACTCTTTAATATACATGACATATTGAGTCTACGCTGTAACTTCGGAGTTAGAAAGAAATCTTCTTCCCCCCCATTTTTACAGCTTGGGTGGTAAAGACAGTCTTATTTCTTTTTCAGTGTTCTCACTTCCTTTTACAATGCTGAGGATGAATCAAATCTTCTTTTACCTAAATTACCAGCACTACCAAAAAAGTAAGCATTATACTAGTAAGCCTGAGAATATATAATTTGTCCTTTGTTATCGTTGTTTTGGTCATTCATCTTTAATGCTCTACAGATTCTTTGGATTACATGTCTGCTCATTGTTACTGAGAATAATTATTTTGTTTTCAGTTACAGTACCACTGCAAAAATTTTCAGGTAAGAAATTGTCATCTTCTCTCTCTCTCTCATTTTTGTTTTATTTTGTTTTCTGGTATTGAGGCAAACTACATAAACACCAATTATATGTTTTATATTTCAGTGAAGAAAAGTCAGATGAAATTATGAAGCTTCTTGGTGACGTAAGGTAAATTCCATGCTTGGGTTGTGAGTTGGTTTTTTTTTTTTTTTTCCTTTGGTTGGTTGGGCTTTTTTTTCAAGCTATAAAATAATGGATAAGTGGGTTTACTTTTCAGTTATTCATAATCTCTTTTTAAGGGTCCTGAAGAAAGGATATGGATTGTCTTTTTTCATGTACAAAGATAAAGTTCAAATAATATATTAAAAAACAAAAAGTCACATCAGTTTACTCCTTTTCTACTCAATTTAGAGGGATTATAAGGCACTGTATCAGCAACTGCTGTTGGTGTGATATCTTCTTTTCCTTAGAAGAAGATTTCTTGGGGTACATTTGAAGCCTCTGTTCTATGTGGTACTTAAGCTGGTCTTGGAGACATTTGTGAATGCTTGTTATAAATGGGGAATTCCTGTGGTTTTTTTGCTTAAGTGTGACAAAGCTAAACTTAAAATTAGCTCTGAAATCATCTGTATTAGGGTTACTTTAAAATAAAGTAAGCACCTCTTATTAGGAAACACAAGAGGAGCAGCTGGAGGATGTGTAGTTCAGCAGACAGACAGGCATTGTGGAGTGCTGTGGTGCATATTTGAGGAGGGCACTTAACCTCTGTGCTTTGTTTTTCTATTTGCTTTCTTTCACTTTTCCTTACAATTTCACCACTGAGAATCATCCTCCTTATTTCAAAATGTGCATCTCTGTCTATCACCAGTTACTTATTTAAGACTTGGTATCTCTTCGTACAGTGGGACTTCCTTGCTAGAAAGAGATGTGGCAGCTGTCAGCGGTGTAGGAACTTTCTGTATTCTATGCACCTTCATCCATTCATTTTTCAGATACTGTTTTGTTAAGTTCTGTCTTGGTTTTAGTGGAAACATTCTCCTTTAACATTTTTTTAGGTGTGTAACAGGCAGAAGTTGCAGTTAATTTTCTCGTATTTATAAAGGGACACGTGAAACATTCTCATTTTTTATCCTGTAAAGCATTACTGCTCACTGTAATGTAAGCAAATATGCATAGTTGAAGATGTATGAATGACAGCAATAGACAACCTCCTTGTCCAAAGTTTAACATTTTAAGCATAAACGGAGGGGTCA